AACTAAGTGATGGTCATCCCTACTTGGGTCATGACAAAAGGACAAAAGAATAGTAGTCAGTAGAGACAAAAAAAAAAATTCTAGTGATTTCTAAAGAGTATAGTTGCAAAGATTCACTCACTAGAAAGACTTATATAAGATATGTTGATTTGGTCATTGGCAAACATTTAAGGAAAAAAGAGGAGACATATTTTACACAATATGTTGAAACTCACAATGAGTCACGAAAATGAAAAGGATACCAAATTACAATTTTAAAATTGGAGGAAAGGAGGGACAGAAAAAAAGGGGGGGAGGATTCACACAAAAACTTATTTCCTAAAACAATCAAGGAAACAAATCTTAGGCCCATTTGGCCATAAGAGACATGCCACCGGCACCAAGAAGAACAGCCATGTAAGACTTGATCTGTAGCTTAATGCTGCCTTGTAACTTGTCACCCATAAAATCTGCAGCAAGAAGATCTACTAAAGCCATGTAAATAAGAAGACCAGCAGATGACGCATTGAGCAATCCAACGGTTATTAATGCCCGAGGACTGTTCTCCTCGTAAGTGCTTGAAAGTGCTATCCCAAGTGCTATACCAAATGGGGTTGTTACTGCGAAGAAGAATGCCATTATTGCTTTCTTCAAGAACTTGTACTCAGCCTGAATTAAAACAAGTGTATATGAATTAGTAAATGTAAACAATGAATTATATTGAAAGTGAACTGAGAATTATTTTTATTATATGTCGTAAAATAAAAACTTGCCTGGAGAATACAACCACCAAGTCCCATTCCTTCAAACATTTGATGAAAGCAAAGAGCAGCGACAAGTCCTTTAATTGTGCAAGTATTATTTGAAGCACCTAGAGAAATCCCTATCACAATCGAGTGAACAATGATTCCCAGCTCTAACACCTGCCAAAAAACGTTTCCGTAATTTTAAATTATTTTGCGGAACTCAACATAACGATAAGAAAATGTTGACATAAAATGTTTCAAGAATAAGGCATTAATTCTCAATTATTTATCTGTAACAAAATAATTAACATACTATTGTTATCCTTGAACACAAATCATTTCATACATCTCAAGCTAGTGGAGCCATTTCAATTCCCAAGAGTCAAATAACCAACTAGCTGTTTTCTTTGTGTGTGGATATTTTATGAATATCGATCGAATGAGAGTATTATTTTCATAAAATGTTCAAATATGTCCTTATATTATACGAAATTGAGCACATTTGCCATTCGTTAATACTTTAGCTCAATATGTTCTTACCGTCACATAGTTGGTCCATATATACCCTTAAAGTTACACAGTTGACCAATATATGCTCTTTTCGAAACGGAATCCACCCAAACTAATTAGCTCTTTCGTTAATTGTATTAAAGTGTATTACAAACACTATTTCCTTTTTATTAGTATTTTTTTTTCTTTACCTTTCTCTTTTCTTTCTTTTTTTTTTCTTTTCTTCTTTTTTTTTTCTTTTTCTTTCTCCCTTATCCGATTTCCTCCATTACTGATGTCTTCTCCATTTTCGTCACCAATTTCACTTGATAAAACTCATGAATTTTAATTACTAAGAAAATTCTCCCATAAGAATATTTTTATAGATCATATGTTTGTTAATTTTTTAATTTTTACTGAACATATATTTAGTTCTAAAAAATTTAACAAAGTTTGAAATAATATTTATGTAAAAAAAAAATTCTAAAATTCTAACAAAACCGAACAATCCAAACCGATATAATTGGTTTGGTTTGGTTTTGACAAAAATCGAACCAACTCGTTCCATGTACACCCCTAATTTACATAGTTAATAANAAACTCATGAATTTTAATTACTAAGAAAATTCTCCCATAAGAATATTTTTATAGATCATATGTTTGTCAATTTTTTAATTTTTACTGAACATATATTTAGTTCTAAAAAATTTAACAAAGTAAGATTGAAATAATATTTATGTAACAAAAAATTCTAAAAATCTAACAAAACCGAACAATCCAAACCGATATAATTGGTTTGGTTTGGTTTTGACAAAAATCAAACCAACTCGTTCCATGTACACCCCTAATTTACATAGTTAATAATAAAAATAGAAAATATCTAGCTGAAAAAATATAAAAAACTCAAATTTATAACACTACAACTTGAACTCTAGGCTTTTAATCATTAAGTTATCTTTCTGAAAAGAATTTAAATATTTTAGTCTTTTGAGTATTGAAATATTTTTATTATTTTAAAGTTTAAACCATAATTTTTGGAATAATT